CCCCTTGAGCTGGAATTTTTTTTCCACCAATTTTAGGTGATGGCCTAACAGTTTATCGCTAATGTTGCTGCCACCATTAAACATTTTGTACATGGAAATCATATCCCCCCTTAATCTCCTCACCTCTAATGTGAACATGTTTAAATTTAGTAGCCTTGTCTCGTAGCTCTGGTCCTCCATGCCCCTAATTAGTTTGGTTGCCCTTCGCTGGACTTTTTCCAACTCAAGGACATCTTTTCTTAGTACTGGTGACCAGAACTGGACCGCGTACTCCAGATGAGGTCGAACCAATGATCTATAAAGTGGCAAAATTATAGACTTGTCCCTGCAATACATCCCCTTTTTAATACAGGACAAGACCGTGCTAGCTTTGTTTACAGCAGCCTGGCACTGCAAACTACCTTTCAGTTTGTGGTCTACAATGACCCCCAAATCCTTCTCCATTTCTCCATTTTCTATTAGTTATGGTGGGTGGGTGTTGGCGGGGTTGCTTGTGGTTACTTGATTTCGGTGTGTCTAATAAACTGTAAGCTCATAAGCATTGTCTGGTGCGGTCACACATTTGGTCCTCCCGTATAGATACCTGCATGCGGTGTGGGGACACCCGTGCACGGTATCCTGACACTGTAATCTGGGTTTCCGTTAAGGTGAGTTGGCCTCACTTCTTCTACTGGTGACTACACAGGAAGTAAGGGGACTCTACCTGAAAAAAAACCCGATAGAGATTCTAACCATGGCCAGGAAAAGGGACTTCCAATGTTGCCTGTGCTCCTGTTGGAGAGATTTCCATCCTGTCTGGGCGACCACAAGAGGAAGTGGACGGAGATCTATCCAATGGAGTCACAGACGATAAAAACCTAAAAGCGGTTTAACCTTCCTCCACCCATTCGAAAGCTGAAAGACAAGTGGACCGGAGTCGGGCTTTGAAGCTACCCACAGCCGTAAGATTGCCATTGCCGAGATTGATTTCTCAGCCCTACAGAATTTCACGCAGTCGCTCCATGAACGTTTAGGGCCCTTTCACTCTTCTGTCTCGATAAACAAGACGCCTGACCGGTGCCAGGCGATAGAGAAGTGACGAGTGAGAATGTTGTGCAAACATGTGATCACCACAAGAACAGAAAGCTGGCCAAAGGATTCAACGTTTACAGAACAAACAACTTTCTGGAGACGTTGAGGTGCCGTGAGGTTAAAACGTCTGTCAGGGGTTCTATGCAGTTTTGGACCCTCTGGAGACACCGGGCCCAGCAAGAGAGTGAAAGGGGTGTCACTGGTGATAGGAAGATACAGACATCGGATGAAGTGAGGAATAGAAGCGCCACTCCACTTATAACTATTAGAATTTAAAAAAAAACAGTTGTGACTTATGTACAGTGCAACCTTACTCTAATCTACGGAAGTAGCAAGAGAAGGAAACACACATTTCGGGGGGCTGCACTCTACCCCCTTCATCGGGGGAAGAAATGCAGAATCAATGTATGCAGAATCAAAATCCAATATATAATTGGCGGTGATTGAGTCTGCACAGCACTCGTCAGCTGATGGTTCAGGATCCGTCATCGTTGCCGAACAGCAATAGAAACTGAATTAAACCCGGGATCTCGCATGTCATTTTCTTGGCATGGAATCCGCCGGCAAGTCAGAGAATGACATTGTCCTGGTGTCAGAAAGTGATGAGAAATCCAAAACCGTCACCACAACAGGAAATCTTCCAATGGGAGCGTCTGTTCCAAGGACAACTACTTAAGAGGGGATTTTCCCTGACTTTGGTGAGATTTTCTCACTTCCTGTTTTGTCTGCAGGACAGGAAGTGAATAGAAATCTCCCTAATGTCAGACAAGACAGCAAATAGAAAAAAAACCGAGAGGGCTTTGAACTATTCCGTACTCTATCCAGCATTTGACTTATCTTGCAATTGAGTCTCGGCATGCCTGCCTCCAATTTTCTTGCTTTAGATACATCTCCCATAAGTTATGCGTCACTAACAAAATGTAAAACTTTATTGTACATAGTCATTGTAAACACACAAAACGAAGGAGCACCAAGTCATCATTTCATAATTATGGATCGGTCCACCCACAAGCAATATTTTTAGTTGAAGATGAGTCAGCCCCTCATATGTCTTGGATACTCCCGCCCATAATGAGATCTCCCGGCTATAATTCCCAACTTTGTCCGTCCACCTGGGAGTTGGGGGGATGCCCACCCACCTTTGTGTGATCCAGCCCCTCCTGTTAAATTTTCCATAATATAAAATCCAGCACAGGGATGGCAGGAGCTCCTCATAATGGGCACAGCGGGTGTACAGACCTGGGAACTCAGCACAGGGATGGTGGGAGCCCCTCACAATGGGCACAGCGGGTGTACAGACCCGGGAACTCTGCACAGGGATGGTGGGAGCTCCTCATAATGGGCACAGCGGGTGTACAGACCCGGGAACTCAGCACAGGGATGGGGGGAGCTCCTCATAATGGGCACAGCGGGTGTACAGACCCGGGAACTCAGCACAGGGATGGTGGGAGCTCCTCATAATGGGCACAGCGGGTGTACAGACCCGGGAACTCTGCACAGGGATGGTGGGAGCTCCTCATAATGGGCACAGCGGGTGTACAGACCCGGGAACTCAGCACAGGGATGGGGGGAGCTCCTCATAATGGGCACAGCGGGTGTACTGACCCGGGAACTCAGCACAGGGATGGGGGGAGCTCCTCATAATGGGCACAGCGGGTGTACAGACCAGGGAACTCAGCACAGGGATGGTGGGAGCTCCTCATAATGGGCACAGCGGGTGTACAGACCCGGGAACTCAGCACAGGGATGGTGGGGAACCCTCATAATGGGTACAGCAGGGGTACAGACCCGGGAACTCAGCACAGGGATGATGGGAGCCCCTCATAATGGGGACAGCAGGTGTACAAACCCAGGAACTAAGAGCAGGGATGATGGGAGCCCCT